GGAGACCTGTCCAGAGTGTCTCTGTGATGGACTGGAGACCTGTCCAGGGTGTCTCTGTAATGGACTGGAGACCTGTTCAGGGTGTCTCTGTGATGGACTAGAGAAGTGTCCAGAGTGTCTCTGTGATGGACTGGAGAAGTGTCCAGAGTGTCTCTGTGATGGACTGGAGACCTGTTCAGGGTGTCTCTGTGATGAACTGGAGACCTGTCCAGGGTGTCTCTGTGATGGACTGGAGACCTGTCCAGGGTGTCTCTGTGATGGACTAGAGAAGTGTCCAGAGTGTCTCTGTGATGGACTGGAGACCTGTCCAGGGTGTCTCTGTGATGGACTGGAGACCTGTCCAGGTGTCTCTGTGACAGACTGAAGACCTGTCCAGGGTGTCCCCTGCCTCTCACACAGTGACTGCTGGAAATGGGCACCAGTGACAACCGTGACCTGACGATGAAGAAGTGGGTAAAGTTAATGGATATACGTATGGATGGATGGATGGATGGATGGATGGATGGATGGATGGATGGATGGATGGATGGATGGATGGATGGATGGATGTCAATGGGGATATTACAACGTGGTGTTGAAATGACTTCAGGAAGATATTGTCTGATTTATAAATGTCTGGAGTGATTCTGGTGAAAATGGTCAATGATGTTATGTTTGAATGTTCCCGCCTGGTCGTGCAGTTTGTAGACGGTCTCTGAACCTCGTTTCACTTGTGGTGTTGCAGTTCCATCTTCTTCCTTGTTCAAATTGACAACAAAACAGAACATCACACCTGCTGCAGAAAGGCATCAGTGGTGTTCCCAAAGCACACGGACTGTGTCCTAAACAGAGGAAATGGATTATTTTAACATCAAACGTCATTTTTACCCATGACCCTTGGGGGATACCATAGGTGAATACATGTGCACTCTTTGCTTTTCATGTTTGTAGTTTGGGGTTTATTGAAAACAAGTTATGTCACATTTAAATGTATACGTATAAAGTATTTATTTAAAATCAAACAGAAAACTGGTTTAAATCCTAAATTGTAAGACAACAAAGTAATAAATAAAACTACTAATGAGGTGAATACCCTGGAAGCTCCTGAACACTTCAGATGTTGTTTGGGTCCGAGATGGTGTAGAGGTAGGACAGCTGACTTGGGACCAGAAAATTGCAGGTTCAAATCCCCACCATGGGTTCAGAACAGCCTGATCTGATGATTGAAGAAGTGTTCTGGATAAAAGACGAAACGTTTCAACAAAGAAGAAACCGTCCAGAGAACCTGACTCGACCTTGTTAGAGCCTAAGCAGATGTTCTTACCTTCCTGCCTGAAACTTATGTTTGGTGGAGGGTCAGAACCCAAAAGCAAAAATCATAACTCTAAAAACTTGAAGGTAAAATAATTAAACTAATTCATTTACAAACACGCTAAACCAAAGGCTGACGAGGCAGCACAAAAATCCCACAACTGAAAACTGTGAAAAACTCACGGACAACAAAAGAGAAGAACACCTCTGATTAAAAAACTAAACTAATGACAACACCTGGGGAGAGACAACGAGGAACAGGTGAGCGTGGGAGAGGCAGAAGCTAAGTGAGGGGACAACCCTGGGATCAACCAGTCACACTAAAAACTCAGCACAAGAGTCACAAGGAGACTAAAACAGATCCTGGCAGAAGCTTCTTCGTGTTGGTGTCGCCGCACCACCACTTCCTGCTGACACACATGCTGACGTTGATGCTTGTTTCAGTACACGTCTGACCCATACACAGGTTACCATGACGCTCGCACATCGCTGTGTGACGGAGGCTCGTCCTGGGTGGTGCTTGGAGCTGTGAAACATGAGAGGAAGCGAAACCCCCACATGTTCTCACTGTCGCCACATCCTGTGGAGAGCTGCGCTCTTCTAAGCATCCGTCACTTCATTACCTACGTTTCAAATGAACAAGAAAGCTCTCTCAGCCTTTGCACTTTATATATATATATATGTGTGTGTGTGTGTGTGTGTGTGTGTGTGTGATGGCTGCACTCATCGTCATCCGCTGCCATCAGGGGGAAGTTGGTGATAAAGATTGTATCTGTGTGTTTGTGCTTCATGACCCACTGGAGGGATTTCATCATAACTCTCACAAAGTAACCGTTGGATGTTCATCTACTGCTTTGAAGTGGAACCAGTTTAAGATGTCTCCACATCCCACTGACCTTACAAAAGACACGAATGGCTTTAGTTGATTTGGACAGAATTGGAGGCAACACGGTGGATCAGTTCAGAGTCAGAGAGGTTTTATGGTCATTGCAGCTACGTACAAGTTCATACTGAAATGAAACGTGTTCCCCAGGATCACGGTGCAACACAGAACTTAATGTACAAAACAACACACAGTGTACATCACATGTGTCAAACTCAAGGCCCGCGGGCCAGATGTGGCCCACCACGTCATTTTATGTGGCCCACAAGAGCTTAAAAGATCTGATTGTCGTATAATAAATAACCAAAAGGGTTCACTGGCAACAAACTACATTTATACTGTCTTACAGTTACATGTGGCCCTTTGAGGGCAACCATGATGCTGATGTGGCCCTGGGTGGAAATTAGTTTGACACCCCTGGTGTAGATACACAACGGAACGATAAATACAAACCCCTTCTTCAGGGGTCGCCACAGTGAACTAAGACACAAAGAGCTGACAGTTGTTTTTACTCCAGATGTTCTTCCTGACACAACCACAGACACCGAGCTGCCACAGCCGCTGTGGAGCAGAGAGCTGCATCCAGGGCACCCGGGGGAGCAGGTGGTGGGGGTTAGGGCCTTGCTCAAGGGCCCAGAGTGGAGCGAATGAGGGTGGAGGCAGGTGTGGGTGTTTTACCTGTCCCACCCACATTCTGATGTTGTCGGTCTGGGATGTTGAACCGGCGATCTTCCGATCACAGGCCCACCTTCTCTAACCACTGCACCACCACTCCCTTTTATACAAACAGACCTATAATGTAATTCTGTGATGGAGTTAAATTCAAAGCAGTCTTCTTCTCAGACACAGTTTTAAATGATCATTATTGATATATGAATGTTTCTGTTCAGTGCCCTGAGGTGACCTGTTGTGACTTGGCGCTTTACAAATACATTGAATTGAATAAATGTAAAGCGATATCTAATCTAAACAAGTAATTTAGAGACAGGACTAGAGACACATGTTGATTAGAACATGTGTAGGTGGTACATGAGGCAGAAACATGTTCTGATGCGTGTTAGCAGCACAAAGTTTCTCTGTTTCTATAGCAGCAGAGATAAAAACTGTGTGCGGTGCAAAAACTTGAGCAGATTGTAAAAACAAACGAGTAGAGAAGTCACAGACAGTACAGCACATTTAGACTGTGTGTGCGTGTGCGTGCGTGCGTGCGTGCGTGCGTGCGTGCGTGCGTGTAGACATCCTGGACAGGTCACAACATGTCAGTGTCTTTTACTCTGTTCTGTTCAATTCACAAAGAGATGTGTCACGGTTTGAACACTTTAGAGAACTCCAACATTTTTCAGTCTTTTCATCTGGACAGTTTCTTTTTTTGCTGAAAGGTTTCACCTTCCATCCAGAAGGCTTCATCAGTCAAGGAAACGCACAACACAAAACTAATTCTTCCCCCAAACAGCTTACTCCAAAGTGGAACAAACCAGCTTTGCTGGTGCTAAGATGGTGTCTTTGACACGCCCCCTCCTCTGGTGCCGGCCCTCTTCCTCGTCGACAGTCATGTCAAACTGGTTCAAAACCAAAGTCCATGCTCAATAATCCAACAATCCTCAATAAAGCCTTCCGGATGGAAGGTGAAACGTTTCAGCAACAAAAGAAACTGTCCAGATGACCTGACTGAAAAATGTTGGATTGTGTACCTGGATTATTGAGCATGGACTTTGATGACTTTAGAGAACTGACATCATGGAGCTACTGGTGGTGCGTGGGATGAAGGTGACAGGAGTACATGTGGAGTGGGGGAGCAGTGGTCATACAATTCAACCGTTATCCATCCATCCATCCATCCATCCATCCATCCATCCATTCTCTTTACCCCCCTCTTCCTTTTCGGGTCTAGGGGGTCATGGTGCCCATGACCAGCCATCACTGTGCGAGGGACGGGGGGCACCCTGGACAGGTCTGCAGTCCATCACAGGGACACATAGAGACAACCGAGCATTCATACCCAGAGAAAACCCACGCAGCACAGAGAGAGCATGCAAACTCCACCCAGAAAGGCACCTGGACCGGGATTTGAACCGGCGACATTTTTGCTGAGAGGCAGCAGCTCTACCAACTGCACCACCATGCTTCAACCGTTCTTTCTGAAATAAATTAGTTTCTTTCTAGCTTCCTGTGTGTCTGTCAGTCTGTCTGGATCAGTTTTTAGAACCTTGGAGCTGCATGATCAGATGTTTCCATGAGAACATGAAGGGCAGCAACCATCACTTGATGTCCTGTGTCTTTGTTGAAAACTACTCGGTGCTTCTTTATGGACCACGCCCCGTATGCTCTTTAGATGTGAGCATGAAGTGGATGTTCTCATAACAGGTTCTCTTGTGTTCTGATTTGTTCATTTGTTCTGCTTCTGTAAATGAGAAAAGAGAACATGACAGGAGGCCGTGTGTTTGTGTCCTCTTACCGTGGACAGACGGTTGGAACGTTGCTTCAAACATCACTCTGTGTGTGTGTGGGGGGGGGGGGGGGGGACAAGTGGAGTCGGCTGCATGGTGTGGATCAGATCTGGGTGTCTTTGTTCAGAGAACTGACATCTCATTGTTCTCCAGGATCAAGAAGGGTTGCAGTGAACCACACACACATCTGTCAGAGGTCAAAGGTAATATGCTGAGTGTTTTTGTTTTTCAGGCCAACATTGGTCAGATGGACACAGCGAAGGACATGTGGAAAATGATTATGGGGAACTTGGCTCTTATCCAGGTAAAGAAACTAAAACCTAAGTTCTGCATCAGCCGTTGGAAGATATTAGTTAAATAATGGATGTACAATGTCCTGAGGTCAAAGGTCAGATACTGAACGGTCCAAAATTCCTACTGCCCAAAACATATTTACATGAACACAATGTATTTAGACATTAGCACATATATTTCTCTATCAGCACACACGTTATATTTTATTATTATCATTAATTTAACCAGGCAGATTCCAGTTAGATCAAAGAGCTCTTTTTCAAGGACCTCGTGGGAGCAAACCAAGGTACTTTATACTGTATATATATTTTATTTTATATATATATATATATATATGTATATATAAAATATACATACAGTATATATGTATACTGTATGTATATTATAGTATATATATATAG